GCCGAGTTGAAGTTATTCATGATTTATTCAAGAGAGGAAGGTCAGACAGACCTGATGTTTTAAATATTTAACGAGAGAAAAATCATAGAAACAGAGAGAGGCATCGAGAGAGATGTCGACGCTTAATGAAAGAGAAAGAGTGATAATAATGAGAGAGAGAGAGAAAGAAAGAGACAGAGAGGGGGAGGGAGAGATAGAGGGGGAGAGCAAGAATTAGGTGTGAAGAGGAAGATCTAAGAGAACAAGAGATTAAATTTACAAATGTACACGTTTCCATGTACCTTTACTTAATTTATATTATAATGTAAACGATATTGTGATGGTCTTTGCTTAATTTTAGTTTGCATTCTTTCCTTTAGCTTTATCTTCTAATTTACTATTCTAATTTAGTAAATGTTAGTATAAATATAATTTTGATTTCTATCTCTTCCCCTATGTCATAGCCTCCATTCTTGCTCTCCCTTCCTCATGTTAGTCCATCTCTCTTTCTCTCTCTCTGTAATGATAACCCCTCTATCAATCTTTCTCCATCAACTCATGATATGTTCCTCCTCTCTTCTCCTTCTCGTTCATCATCACAATCATCATCATCATTCAAAAACTGTATTAATCAATCTATAAGACTCTTTAGATTGATCAATACAGTTCTTATAACATATGACCTTTATGTACAAACATAAACCAAATGGTCACAATCATTTAATAAAAAGTGGTAAGAACAATTATTCCAACTCTATGGGCAACAACGTAATCTCCATTTTCTCCTCCTCGTTCAAATATTAGCTTCTTTTTCATTCTTTACTCGTGTTACTTTACTTCTCTATCTCTCTGACTATACTCACAAGAAAGTAGAATCAACGGTTTGACATGAAACAGTCTAGAAAATGAACTAAATTTATTCAAGTATCAAATGATTTTGAATTACAGACAGCTTTCTCCCACGAGATGAAAAAAATATCTCCCTAACCAGAAACTGGCAAAATAACTAAATGCCTTTCCCTCTTGTAGTCTCTCATTCTCTCAGTTCTTCTAGTGATGGAGGGTCCTTATCTACTAGGTACACACAAATGTCTCTATACATAGTAGACGACCAGCTCTGCAGTCTGCATGCCTTTCCCCCCCCCCCCCCCCCCCCCCCCCCCCCGCCCCCTCTCCATCCATCGTCCAGTTTATCTCTACCTCGGATGGCTGACGGTACTCGATTTCCAAGCTTGAGTCCCCTCCTTGTAGAAAGTCACGTAACACTTCTGTTGTCCATTGTGAAATGAGCTCTCTCGTAGCATCTACGTTATCTTCTGATTCATGGGTCATAGTGTTCGATGATGCTGCAACTGATAAATAAAAGGGAAAAGAAAATCAAATTTAAGTTTGTGACCAAAGAACCCTCATCACTTCTTCAACACTAGATCATGTAGCAGACGTGTATGCAGGGGGGAGGGAGTTTCGGGGGTTGAACCCCCCCCCCCCCTCCTCCAATTTTGTTTAGACTATGTGTGTGTGTGTTTTTGAGGAACCCCCCCCTCACTTTTTTAATAACAAAAATAAATTAAACATTTTTTGTGCTAAAGGGTGACCCAAAAAGGTGACCTTACCCCCCACCAACTGAACAAAATATCGGTCTCCCAAATTTCATATTTTCGGGGAAAAAAAGAAGGAAAAAAAAAGGTGCTCTTACCACCCCCGGCTTATTCACCGGCTGGCCGAGTCGTTGTGAAATTGACTGCGTGATTTTCAAATTTTACCCCCCGGCCCCCCCCCCCCCCCCCTCGAAAAAATCCTCCGTACGCCCCCGTCATGTAGATCCTCAAGTAGAGCTCATTGATATCAGACTACTATATTCAGATCCAGATCGAAAAAATCTATCGTTTTCATGGCCTCTTTTACTTTCTTACAATAGATCTAGACCTAGTCTAATTTCTAATTGCAATCACTTTCTAGGCCTAACTGTCGGCCATTCTAGTAGACCCTATTCCATTATCAATTATAGGATCTAGAAAGTCTATTAATATCTCATGAGACATAAATCTCATATTACTGTACATTTCTACCTAAAACACGAGACGAGTGTACTTAAGCAGCTTAAAAGACAATCAGTCTACTTAAAATGCACACACATTTGAACATACGGGACTAGATCTAGGCCTACATTTACTAAAGTTGGATCTCGGCCCACTC